TACTGGGTATATATCCAAAAGACTATAAATCGTTCTACTATAAGGACACATGTACACGAATGTTCATTGCAGCACTGTTTACAATAGCAAAGACCTGGAATCAACCCAAATGCCCATTGATAATAGACTGGATTGGAAAAATGTGGCACATATACACCATGGAATACTATGCAGCAATCAGAAATGATGAGTTTGTGTCGTTTGTAGGGACATGGATGAATCTGGAGAACGTCATCCTCAGCAAACTGACACAAGAACAGAAAATGAAACACCGCATATTCTCACTCATAGGTGGATGATGAAAAATGAGAACACATGGACACAGAGAGGGGAGTACTAAACACTGGGGTCTACTGGGGGGAGAAGGGGAGGGCCAGTGGGAGGGGGAGGTGGGGAGGGATAGCCTGGGGAGAAATGCCAAATGTGGGTGAAGGGGAGAAGAAAAGAAAGCACACTGCCATGTGTGTACCTACGCAACTGTCTTGCATGCTTTGCTCATGTACCCCAAAACCTAAAATCCAATAAAAAATTTAAAAAAAAAAAAAAGGAGAAATAAATTTTGGTGAGCAAATTTGCAAATACAGAATCCATGAATAATGAGGATTAACTGCACACACAAAAATATACATAAACATTTCAAAGGCAAATGACAGAATAGGAAAAATTCCTTCACATACATCAGATAAATGATGTATTCATTATTATGTAAGAAGATAGCATAATTGAAAAGAAAAAGCGTATAACCCATGCTGTGGTTTAGACACGGTTCGCGGTTCGCTTGGCCCCACCACATCTCATGCTGAAATGTGATCCCCAGTGTTGGTGGTAGCGCCCCGTGGGAAGTGCTTGGGTCAAAGGGGCAGATTCCTCATAAATGTCCTGGAGCTGTCCTCACAGAAATGAACTCTCACCCTATTAGTTCCACCCAGAACTGGTTGGTAAAAAGAGCCTGGCACCTCCCTCTGCTCTCTCTTGCTTCTGCTCTTGTCATGTGACATCTGCACACTCCAGCTCCCCTTTCCCTTCGGCTATGAGTGGAAGCAGCCTGAGGCCCTAACAGAAGCAAATGCTGGTGCTACCCTTTATGTACAACCCACAGAACCTAAGCCAAATAAGCTTCTTTTCTTTTATGTATTTGTTTGTTTTGAGATGGAGTCCTGCTCTGTAGCCATACTGCAGTGCAGTGGTGCGATCTCGGCTCACTGCAACCTCCGCCTCCCAGGTTCAAGCGATCCTCCTGCCTCAGCCTCCTGAATTACAGGGGCACGCCACCATGCTCAGCTAATTTTTGTATTTTTAGTAGAGACGGGGTTTCACCATGTTGGCCAGGCTGGTCTTGATCTATTGACCTTGTGATCCGCCCGCCTCAGCCTTCCAAAGTGCTGGGATTACAGGCGTGAGCCTCTTTTCTTTTTGAATTACCCAGCGTCAGGTATTCCTTTATAGCAACGCAAAGACATCCCAGTAGAAAAAAATTTTTTAAAAAGCCAAGAGACTTATTCAGGCAATTCATGCTTAAAGAAATGCACATGCTTTCCGGAGAAAGAAAACTCTTTGCAACTCCTAAATGACACAACATCCCTTTCTTCATATAATCTTGCGCACTGAGGGTAGGAGTATACCCAGTCATGATTATTCCAGAAAGCTGTTGGCAAACCTTTAGAAAATCCATCTCATTGAACCAGTAATTCCAATTCTAATAGTAATCCTAAGGACATAAGTTAGGGATACGAGCAAAGACGTACAGTCTGTCCATTGATATTCTTTTGCATTTTTTAATAATAGTGAGGGGAGATGTAGGGAAATCTTGTATTTCTAAAAACAAAACACTCTGGGACAGGCAGATCACCTGAGGTCAAGGGTTCTAGATCAGCCTGGTCAACGTGATGAAACCTCCATGCCTGTAGTCCCAGCTACTTGGGAGGCTCAAGCTGGAGAATCGCTGGAACCCATGAGGCAGAGGTTGCAGTGAGCCAAAATCACACCACTGCACTCTATCCTGGGTGACAGTGAGACTCCATCTCAAAAAATAAATAAATAAATAAATTAGCTAAATAAATTATTATATATTTCCAGAAATTAAATACTATACATTTAAAATGTTAAATTATGCCTTGATATGATACAGTAGGTATACTTTTATGTATGTGATTTATTTTAATTAATTTTAAAATACATATTATCATGGAGAATTGTTCACAATATCTTTATAAGTGAAAAAAAAGTATAAAACAATATTCACAGCATCAACCCATTGTTGTGGGCCCACAATATATTCACCACAATGTTAAAAGTTATCTTTTAAGGGAAGAAATATTGGCATTTCTTAAAAGCTATTGTCTTTATTTTCTAGTTATTTCTGCAATTACCATGTATAGCTTTTGAAACAAAAAAACATTTCAACATGAATGTCATATATCTGCAATAATCTTAGCATTCTCAATTTTCAAAGGAAAGCTGATCCTTTCCTCAGTACTTGCGCAGTTTTACCGTCTCAAAGAATCCGTTGAGCTAAACAGATTAATTGGTTTGATAAGAAAAATGACCTTTTTATGGCTAGTTTGTCAGAAATTGTGGCTGTCTTTGTATTTTGCTTTCCTGCCTTCAGACATATGCCCTGTTCACTTTGATTTGAGCTGTGGAATCTCAGGCTACATGTAGGCTGAGCTTCACACACGTGGGATAGCACATGTGTAGGATGACATGGTAAGTGGGATTTTCCTGCTCTACCTGCAGAGCATGATACAATCCAGCGGTTCAGTGTGCTATGGGGCTTTTGTCGGTTTGCAGTGTGTTGCTGGCAGCCCTTTACTACAAGGTTACCAGTTTAGCTGTTGGTGAAGTTGTGGTAATAGAAGATGTAGCCTTGTGCTCTCACCATCTGGAGCTATTCTACAGAGTGTATGCCCTGCCGTTTCGCTATTCATAAAGCCATGCTGCTTTTTCCTCTATGCTGTTAGAGCCTCTTTAAAAATGATTTTATGCAAATGTTTATGCAAGTATTCTGAGTTCCAGAGCTTCTCCTTTGTGTCATCCTTGCTGGGCATAATCTATACCTTAATTTTAAAATCTAGAGTAATCGATTTTTTATGTCAATATAATTAGCCCTCCATATCCACTGGTTTTGCATCCACAGATTTAACCAACTATAGATGGAAAATACTTAAAAAAATAAAAAGCAAGAATGTAACAAAAAATAATACAAACTTTAAAAACACTAAAGTATAACAATTACTTGCATAGCATTTACATTGTATTAGATATTACGCTTAATCTAGAGATTATTTCATGTCTGTGAGAGTGTGAGCACAGGTTATATGCAAATACCACATCATTTGATGTAAGGGACTTTGTCTTTGCCTTGGAGGAACATTTAATCCAAAGGGGAGCTCACGATCTTCCTGGGTTAATATCTTCCCTGTTTATCTCCCAGGCTGCATATTTCTTTCTGTTGAGACACTGAGAACTTACCTCAGAGCTTTCAGGGTTAAGGTTTATCGGAATAAACACTCTCAGAGATCTGCCTGGCTGTCACATACATGTAGCCCTTGGGCATTTTCCTAGACTCTCCTGAGCCCAAACTCTCAAGCTCTAAGGACATTTTCAACCCTGGGTGGGCTCTCCTCCTCAGGATGCCTAAAAACCTGTGGATGCTGAGTGTATTCATTACCACCATATGGAAAGATGCTGAGAAATTTTCTCTCCAACCAAATACTAGCAGGTGGCATGTATACCCAGATCCAGAAAAGTTCATATTTTTGTAATTAATTTGGTGGCTGGGAGATCGCTACAATATTATATGTTGTTGAAATAAAATGTTTAACTGGACACAGTGACTCATGCCTGTAATCCCAACACTTTGGGAGCCCAAGGCAGGTGGATAACCTGAGGTCAGGAGTTCAAGACTAGCCTGGCCAACACAGCGAAACCCCATCTCCACTAATACACAAAAATTAGCCGGGTGTGGTGGTGCACACCTATAATCTCAGCTACTCAGGAGACTGAGGAGGGAGAATCACTTAACCCTGCTGGGAGGTAGAGATTGCAGTGAGCCAAGAGGGTGCCACTGCACTCCAGCCTGGGTGAGAGAGGGAGACTCTGTCTCAAAAAAAGAAGAGGAAGGGAGGGAGGGAGGGAGGCAGAGAAGGAACACGATTGAAAAAGGAAAAAAAAGAAATGCAAAGAATCAAATAGATAATGACAGAGTAAGATGTCGGCATCCTTATATATGGAAGTCAGAGTAACTCAGTGTAATAAACACAGCTTCACAGTCAGGCAGATGAGATTTTATCTCCTGTCCCACTCCTTACTAGTTCAGTGATACTGGGAGTGCTACTCCACCTCTCTGAGCAGTTTTATAAATGAAGGGGCCAATGAAATAATACCAAGCTAAGTAAATTACAGTAAGATTAAATTAGATAATACACACAAAGTGTGCAGGAACTCAGTAATACCTTTTAAATTTTTGAGTGACTTTAAAGGAGAAGAACTTTCTGCTTTACCTAGAACTGCTGGTACACGGTGATTCATGTACCAAGTAAACTTTATGAACTGCTACTAAGAGCCAGGCTGACATAATCACCGTGTTATTTGATGGGTGACGGACAAGGAACCTTTGATGGCATGAAATTCATAGTCTCACAGTCTAGCAGAAAGGGACAAGCATATTAACAAATAAACATGGTCCATGGGTTAGGCTATGATAGATGTATTACAGACAGAAACTTACAACAGAGGCTGATGAATGTCTGACTGATGTGTTCAGGTAGGCCTTCAAGAGAAGCTAGTGTGAGCTGCTTCTTAAAGCATGAATAAGTTCCCAGACGAGGCAGAAAGTGAGTTTCTTTAAATTATTTGATAATGAACAACTGATGGGAGCCCCTAATTTAGCAAAATGCTACACACATGGTAGACACTCAACGAATATTGACTGAATACAAACATGTTCACCACATAGACAACATAGAGGTACATAGGTAAGGCCAGGCACAGTGGCTCACACTTGTAATCCCAGTGCTTTGTGAGGTGAGACGTGAGGTTCGCTTGAGGCCAGGAGTTCAATGCTGTAGTGATCTGCAATCATGCCATTGCACTCCGGTCTGGACCACAGGGCAAGACTGTCTATAAAAAAAAGAAAAAGGTAGATAGGTAATGGGTAATAGTTTCACGAATCTCAACTACTGGCATGCAAAAAACAAAATCTTTTTTTCCCCCAAAAAGACCTATCTTTGTGTCTTTGTCGAGCCTAGTTTTTGAGGAAGGAAATTTGATCTACTCACTTCCAGCTCACCATGTCCAGTTAATTTATGTTTTCCTTAGTCAATTAGGAATTGTATATTCTACCTCCTCCCCAGCCCTTTGCGACAATGCTCTTTCTTATCTGTAAAATGGGGCCAGTTATACCCACATTGGTGTTTTAAAGATGTTTGTAAATCTACTACTATCAGGAACAGAGTATGCACTCCACAGGTGAGAACAGACGGCGTTACCCTTCTTCACCCTGATGTGAGTCAAGGACACTCCTAGCACCCTCTCGTACCATTTTTTAAAAGTCCCCTTTTTATGCAAGGAAAATAAGTTGTAATGGGTTATAGAATGGCACATAGAAAGTACAGTTTTCCTCCTACCCCTGATAACTGGATATCCAAACCCTGCAATTGCACAGCCTACACTTAGCCAGCCAGAGCTTTACTTATTATGCTGCTTGGAAAAGAACTAAGCTACAGTTGACTTAGGTAAAAGTCTCTCTTTGAAAGTACAGCGTAATGAAACAAATTTGCTTAACACTTCTCTGAATAATTACAAACTTTAAATCAATAGAATTTCAACCACAAAGATTTTATCTAATCATATCGGTGGATCCATTAAATATTTTTATGGAATACCCCATAGTCGTGAAAACTTCTGAAATTTCCTAATGAGTTCCTTAAACTTTCTGGACTCAAGAAGTCCAATACTAACAGAAATAAATTAGTACAAGGTCATTGGCTGTACTTTGATCTGATGATATTAGAGTAACCTTAAAATCGGGCGAAGCAGTGGCATTCATAGATAACCCTAGGCTATATCACCAAACAGCCAAGTCATCATAAAGTCAGGTTCATGGAGTAAGACTCATGTAACTACTTTGCAAGCCTCACAGTCTTCAAGTAACCCCACTATAAGATACTTAGTGTGTAACTAGGTGGTAGAAGACCTAAATAGAGCCTGTTAAGTAATAATGACGAATGAAACTCTTGGGAAACAGAAAATGAGCCACAGCTGACAAATCCAGGAAACTCTTCTGCATTCACATTTTATTCAGTCACATGATGGTAAAGAGATGACTGTGGGGAGTGACCAAAATAATATCAGAACTTTGGGATTTTCTCCAGGTGCCACACAACTGCGGCTCGGCAGGCTCCAGGCGTGGGAAATCTCAGGTTACGTAAGTCTTTGTAGCCTCATTGAGATCGTGTTGAAGCTAAATTTAAGGGTGAGATCTTCCTTTATTTGCATGACCTGTCCTGCCTCACTCTTCCTTGCCCAAATTCCTTTTTCTATGACTCAGAACTAAAAGGGAGGAAAAAAAACATGGGACCGGTGCCTAGCTCAGGAGCTGTGCCTGCTGACGACCTAGCCCTTCCTGCCATTTCAGCCCAACACCCTAACAATAGGATGATTTTACACTGGGCACAGTCCTCTGACCCCTCTCTCCTTCTCATGTGTTCAAGGGAGAAAAACACGACGTTCTACATAAATCAAACCTACTGAAGTCTAGTAACTTGAGTCCTTAGGAAACCATACAGTGTCTTTTGCAACCACCCATGTTTTTTCAAAGGGTGTGCAGTAAGAAACAACTAGTTCTTTTTTTCTCTCTCTTTCTCCTAGACCTATGAAGAGGAAGAATTTTAAAACAGAAATTAAGGGTGAAAGGTAAGGTCTACTCTATGACCCTTTACATAAAACACCCTTTACCATGAGAGGCAAATGTACCTGCCTTCCTTTGCTCTTGCCTTTAAACTTGTTACCAGGTTACTGAAAAACGACTTCTGGATAAAATAACCATTTTGACATGGAATCTGAGTTAGAATCATGTCATCCAGGAACACACACACACGTTCGAACATAATCTGTTCTGTAGAAACAGCATGTGAAAAAGTGAAAAGGCTAGAATCTCAACCTAAATAAGAATCATTTCAGTACTAGAATTACTTGCAAGCACTGAACATGTAATACCCAGATACTCCTGCAGTAAACAGGTGATTCTGAAAAAGTCATTGGTACCATATAGATCTATTACTCTGTACTCCAAGTATTAAGTTCTTTTTTTTTTTTTTTAAGACGGGATTTCACCACGTTGGTCAGGCTGGTCTTGAACTCCCAACCTCAGGTGATCCACCCGCCTTGGCCTCCAAAGTGCTTGGATTACCCTGTAATCCAAGCGTGAGCCACTACGCCCGGCCAAGTATTAAGTTCTTTATTCAATGTTGACTTATTAATGTTATTACTTTCTAAATCTCCACATCTGTCCCTGTTGATTTAAGGGAAGCACTTGCTATAATTCAGACCCAAGGTACCCTGAAAACAAAAAGAAGTGTGGATTGCCATCAGACAGAAGCCAGTTCTTTGTTGTACTTTAAGACAGTTTCAGAATGTAATCGAACATTTTCCTGATCTGAAGACACAGCAAGGAATAATGGGAATTTTTAAAGGAAAATGCTGTACAACATTCTCATCAATATTTGTATCTTCTAAATATCAAGAGCATGAATTTTGGCTCTAAGATATTCAAATTCAAGCAATCATTACTATGACAAAGATAAATTACCTCAGACATTTCCACATTATGCTCCAAAAATTGTTTGTTAAATTAGATGCGTGCAAGTTGAAAATATTTCTTTTTTCATTTAAACAAGATTTTAAAATGTCACTTCGTCCCCTTGGGCATCCCTGTAGAAGTTAATTTATATACTGCTGCTGAACTATTCGACATCTTAAAAGCATTAGCTAATGGTACCATATTTACCACTGAAATAGTATAGTAGCTACACGATTCTATCCAATCTCATGATGTAACTAGGCATAGAACGTTCCACTGCAGACAACAATAACAAAAATCATTTGTATTTCTAGGAGGCATGGTGGGTGACATTCTTTTTTGGACTTTTGCATTTTTAGTTCTCTCATAATGACACCTTGGCTGAATATTAAAATGTTGGCTCTTCCCGGCATGGTGGCCCACACCTGTAATCCTAGCTATTCAGGAAGCTAAGGTGGGAGGATCACCTGAGCTTGGAAGGTTGAGGCTTCAGGGAGCCAAGACTGGGACACTGCACTTCAGCCTAGGTGACAGAGTGAGAGCTTATCTCAAAAAAGAAAACAATTCACTAACTATACCTTCTCAAATCCCACAGGTATTATTCTGTGGGGTTTTTAAATTATTTTTTACCACTGACATACTGGAAATCCAAAGAAGTTTGCATTTCAATCCTTTGTAGGCAAGCCGTTGTTATTGCTGTGGTTGTTTAATGGGGCAGGGATGAGAGTGAAATGAAGGTCAGGATGCCTATGGGAAGCGGTGTAAGAATGTACCTGTGTGTTAGTGTTGCAATATTCAAAGGGGCAAACTCAGGTCTTTCTTCAGCTGAGAAATGTGGTTTTGTTTTGTTTTGTTTTGTTTTGTTTTTTTGAGACGGAGTTTCGCTCTTGTTACCCAGGCTGGAGTGCAATGGCGCGATCTCGGCTCACCGCAACCTCCGCCCCCTGGGTTCAGGCAATTCTCCTGCCTCAGCCTCCTGAGTAGCTGGGATTACAGGCACGCACCACCGTGCCCAGCTAATTTTTTGTATTTTTAGTAGAGACGGGGTTTCACCATGTTGACCAAGATGGTCTCGATCTGTTGACCTCGTGATCCACCTGCCTCAGCCTCCCAAAGTGCTGAGATTACGGGCTTGAGCCACCGCGCCCGGCCAAGAAATGTGTTAACTGCATTATATCTTTAACTTTTTTTTCTTGAGATGGAGTCTCACTCTGTTGCTCTGGAGTGCAATGGTGCCATCTCGACTCACTGCAACCTCTGCCTCCCAGGGTCAAGCAATTCTCCTGTCTCAGCCTTCCGAGTAGCTGGGATTGCAGGCATGCACCACCACATCCCACTGATTTTTTTATTTTTAGTAGAGATGGGGTTTCACCATGTTGTCGAGGCTGGTCCCAAACTCCTGACCTGAGGTGATCCACCTGCCTCGGCCTCCCAAAGTGTTGGGATTACAGGCGTTGAGCCACGACACCCGACCTATCTTTAACTATTTTATGTCTATTTCATTGAAGAGATGTAAGCAGAGAGGTAGCATAGTTAGAATTTACTTCATGGACATTTTTGTGGCAGTGCAGGAAAGCAATTTTGAGCAGGGCAAAGAGAGATACTGGAAAAAACATTACAAGTCTCCTGCAAAACAGTAAAAGATACAGAGGGCACTACTAACAACAGGAGAGAGAAGAGGAAGTAAATGAGAGAAACATGGAAGAAGTAAAATCTGAAACTACCTAACTTCGTGATTAATTAGATATGAGCGAATAGGAAAAATTAGAGTCAATGCTCACATAACGTGTGGGTAACAGTGTCACCGACACCACCATTAATTACGATTAGACACATAGGGGAAGAAACAAGTTGAGGTGTCTGTGTTCTAGCTATCTATTGCTGTGTGACAAACCACCCCAAAACTCAAGGTTTTAAAATAGCAGTCATAATTATCTTACCACTTTGCAATCTGGGCAGAGCTCAGTGGGGAAATCTCACCTTGGCTCCATGCGGTATCAACGAGGGCAGCTTGACCCGAAGCTGGACGCTCCACTCCCAAGATAGCTCACTCACGCAGCTGGCAAGTTGGCGCTGGCCACCTGCTGGGACCTCTCCCAGGCTGTCTGCTCAAACACCTATATGTGGGTTCTCGGTGTGGCTCTCTGACTTTTTTACAGCATGCTGTCTGAAGTCCAAAAGCAAACATCCCCAAAACACACAAAGTGGAAGCTATCACCTTCTCGAGGCTTGGACCTGGCACCACATTACTTGCAGTATAGTCTACTAATCAAGCAGTCATAAAGCCCCTAACTCAAAAAAGAGAGGCATAGACCCCACTTCTCAATAGGAGGCATTTCAAATTGTTTTACAGTTGTGTTTTAAAACCTCCATACTGTAGGACATCTTAAGTCCTACTGTGAGACAGATACCTTCAATAAATAATTTAATTTACAAATCTTAAAGAAACTTTAAGGAAAGAGGTCAAAAAATATGTTTTGGAATATTCCAACTTGAGAAATGTAGACAGAGACACATTTACTGTAATTTTAATGAAGTTTATGTTTCATGCCTCTTACTTCCAAGATGAGGACTTGTACTTAATTTTATATTTTTTTCTTAAAGAGAAGCTCCAAATTCATATAAGCTTCAGACTCCATAAAATCATATATACCCCTGGGTGAAATTTAAATCATAAGAGTAGATGAGATTTTCTGAGAAGACTGTATAGAATGAAAAGAGCAGGGGTGTAAGAATGGAAACCCTCAAATGTCAATATATTCACACCACCAGGAGGGAAACAGGAAAGGGATTAGAAAGGAGATATTTCAAATATAATAGAAGAGTTAGGAGGATATCAGAAAAGGATTTTGTCAAATATACCAAGCAGTAGAAAGTTTCAGAAAAAAAGTGGCTGGCAAATAGTCTCAAAATAAAGCATAAAGTTTAAAAAAGAAAAAAACTAAAAAATAATCCTGTTGAGTCAGCATCATGAGCATTCATTTGCAACCTTCTCAAAGCAACAGAAGCTAGTTTTCAGCAAGTTGAGAGTAAACGTGAATTGAAAAAAAAATGGTGATAGCAAGAAATTTGGCTGACAAACATTAGACACAGATACAGGAGTAAGAGGTTGGGAACCAGAAAAATACATCTTTCGGAGGCTGCTTTCAGCAAAAATACGAAGTCTTAATAATGTTATAACTATTAAAGATGTTAAAGCAGTGTCTTAAGTGTTTCCACAATGGAAATGCCAGTCTCAGATGGCTTCATGCAAACATGCTCCCGATCTCTAAAGAAAAAAATTATCTGTCTTACATAATTTCTTCCAGGAAATACGCCACCCAGATCATTTGACACAATCAGCATAAAACTCAGACCAAAATCATGCAGGCATTAGAAAAGCGGTACATTTTTGCCTTTTTAATTCATAAATAAAAATGCAAAAATTTTAAGTTACTGTAAAAGCCAATTGGAACAGTATGGATAAAAAATAATATGCCATAATCAAGTTGCAATTATCATTTCAGGAATGCAGGAATGGTTAATATTAGAAAAATCTATAATATGGCCCAAGGCATTAACAGAATAAAAAAGAAAACCATGGCCAGATGCAGTGACTCGTGCCTGTAATCCCAGCAATCTGGGAGGCCGAGGGAGGTGGATCACCTGAGGTCAGGAGCCTAGCCAATGTGGAAAAATCGTGTCTCTACTAAAAATACAAAAATTAGCCAGGCCTGGCGGCAGGCACCTATAATTCCAGCAACTCTGGAGGCTGAGGCAGGATAATCGCTTGAATCCAGGAGGCAGAGGTTGCAGTGAGCCAAGATGGTGCCACTGCATTCTAGCCTGGGTGACAAGAGTGAAACTCTGTCTCAAAAAAAAGAAAGAAAAGAAAAGGAAGGAAGGAAGGAAGAGAAAACCATGTAACCATTTTAACAAATGCAGGAACAGAATTTGATAAAATTCAACATAATACAAACTCATAATAACGCAACAGAAGGGATCTTCTCAGGCATAGTACCTATTATCAGAAAATGTCAGTGGTATCCTCTTTAAAATTAGGAATAAAACATTATCATTACTTCTCATCGGCATCATATCGAAGGCTCCATTTACACCAAATGCCTAAGTACCCAATCTTCCTTCAGTTTCTGTGCTAATCCACCCCTCAGTCTGCTTTACTAACTTGGTCTCTACCTGACAGCCACAGAGTATCCAGTTCCTCCAGCTCTTCCTCTCAATCTGAGCTGTACAGTGGAATCACCGGTCTTGAAATTTACAGATGCTTAGCCAGCCACAGTGGCTCACATCTGTAATCTCAGTACTTTGAAAGGCAGAGGTGGGAGGACCAGTTGAACCCAGGAGTTCCAGACCAGCCTGGGCAACATAGAGAGACCTTGTCTCTACAAAAAAATAAATAAAATTAGCTGGATACAGTGGTAGATGCCTGTAGTCCCAGTTACCCAGGAAGCTAAGGCAGGAGGATCCCTTGAACCCTGGAGGTTGAGGCTGCTATGAGCCAAAGTTACACCACTGCACTCCATCCTGGGTGACAGAAAGAGACCTTGTCTAAAAAAAAATAAAAGAAAGAAAAAAGAAAAGAAATGTATGGGCTGAGTGCAGTGGTTCATGCTTGTAATCCCAGCACTTTGGGAGGCCAAGGCGGGCAGATCACCTGAGGTCAGGACATTCAAGACCAGCCCGGTCAACATGGTGAAACCTCATCTCTACTAAAAATACAAAAATTAGCCAGGTGTTGTGGCAGGTGCCTGTAATTCCAGTTACTCAAGAGGCTGAGGCAAGAGAATCATTTGAACATGGAAGGCAGAGGTTGCAGTGAGCCGAGATCACGCCATTGCAATCCACCCTGAAGGACAAGAATGAGACTTTCTCTCAAAAAAAAAAAAAAAAGAAAGAAGAAAGAAAGAAAGGAAGGAAGGAAGGAAGGAAGGAAGGAAGGAAGGAAGGAAGGAAGGAAGGAAGTAAGGAAGGAAGGAACGAACCTTATGAAATATTGAGTTCCATCCTTAGAAACTCCTATTTGATTGGTCTGGGCATAGCATCAGGATCTGAATTTTCTGTATTTCCCCAGGCAATTCTAACGTACAGCTCACGTTGAGAATCACTCGATTAGAATAAAAATAGGAGGGAAGGAGGATAAAAAGAGAAGCCAGGGAAGAGTAGAGCAGTCAGCTACTCTCAAACAAGGCTGCACATTAAAATCACCTATGGATCTTTATGCAACCCTGATGCCCAGATTCCCTTCTATACTGATTTTGAAATCAGAATCTGTGGAGGTATGATCCTGGCATGGTATATTTTAAAAGATTCCACAAAGTTTTCTTATATGCTGTCAAGATTGAGAACAACTGCTTTCCCCCACCACCCTGAGACAGAGTTTCACTGTCTAGGCTAGAGTGCAGTGGTGCCATCTCAGCTCACTGAAACCTCTGCCTCCTGGGTTGAAGCAATTTTCCTGCTTCAGCCTCCCAAGTAGCTGGGATTACACGCACACACCACCACGCCCAGATAACTTTTGTATTTTTAGTAGAGACAGTGTTTCACCACGTTGGCCAGGCTGGTCTTGAACTCCTTACCTCAAGTGATCCACCAATCTTAGCCCTCCCAAAGTGCTGGGATTACAGGCATGAGCCACTGCACCCGGCTGGCACAAACATTTTAAATCCAACTGTCAACTCTGCGTCTTCTTTCGTAAGTCATGTGGCTGCCGAAAGACCCAGGGCTTCTCCTCCCTCACACCTGTGCCCACACTCTCACTTCTGCCCACAAGGCAGCAGGCTCCACAAGGGTAAAGGTTGTGACTTTCCTGTGTGTTATACATGAGGGCTGAAGCAAAGTTTCTCAAATCCTCCCTTAGCTAGAAATCAGATTGTTTCCATATTACTGGCATATCCTGCAAACACAAATGAAGATTAATGGCTAATAAGAGGAAAGATACAGGAGCAAGAACCCAGGGAAGTGTTGATATTTCAATTTTAAAAGATATATGGGGGTAAGTGGGAAACAGCACAAGATGGGAAGGGTCAGTTTAAAGTGAAATATGCACTAGTAATAGACCAGCCCTCTCACCTCCAGAGGCACAAAACGGATGGCAAAAAGAGTCTGTCTCCAGTGCCATCAAGCCCTGCACTACATTGCCCAGAAGTGACTTTTCCCATGCTTTCTTTCCTTTCGTTTCCATCTGTACTAAAGGAGTGGGCCGGGCACGGTGGCTCACACCTGTAATCCCAGCACTTTGGGAGGCCTACACGGGCAGATCACAAGGTCAGGAGTTCAAGACCAGCCTGGCCAACTTGGTAAAACTCCATCTCTACTACAAATACAAAAATTATCCAGACATGGTGGCAGGAACCTGTAATCCCAGCTACTCGGGAGGCTGAGGCAGGAAAATAGCTTGAACCCAGGAGGTGGAGGTTGCAGTGAGCCGAGACCTCACCATTGCACTCCAGCCTGAACAACAGGAGCAAAACTCTGTCTCAAAAAAAAAATAATAAAAATAGGCTGGGCACGGTGGCTCACACGTGTAATCCCAGCACTTTGGGAGGCCAAGGTGGGCAGATCACAAGGTCAAGAGATCGAGACCATCCTGGCCAACATGGTGAAACTCCGTCTCTACCAAAAATGTAAAAATTAGCTGGGCACGGTGGCGCACGCATGTAGTCCCAGCTACTCAGGAGGCTGGGGCAGGAGAATTGCTTGAACCCAGGAGGTGGAGGTTACAGTGAGCCGAGATTGCATCATTGCACTCCATCCTGGCACCTGGCAACAGAACGAGACTCTGTCTCAAAAAATAATTAATTAATTAAAAATTAAATAAAGGAGTGAAAAGGGACTCCCCTAACCCTCATTGCCACAGTCATGAGAAAAGAAATCTTTTCACACCCGACAATCCACATAATAAGAAGGGGCTTTCCTGCCTACATGACAAGATGGGAACCCCCTGTCACAGAAGCGTCTAGAGAGTAAGGGATGGCCATCCATAAATAGAGTATGTACCTCTCAGCCAAGGAAACCAGTCTTCCCTGAAGAACAGCTCTATCTACATGTTTCATACACCGTCTCACTGAATCTGCTTTATCATTGCTATTTTTGCTATTTTACAGATGAGGAGTCTCACGCTGTCCATGGTCACAGAACCCGCGAGTGGTGGAACCCAGCTGTCAGCCA